CTAAAGGAATTATTTGATCACAAACTTAACATCGCAAGTTGTTAAAGGGCCACGAAAAACCAAAACACATTTTTTGAGATGTTGACAGTCATATGTGTCCCACGCTGCTAAAAACACTATTAGGACACATATATTCCACAGAAAAGTGAAAATTGGATGTTTTTGCATTCATTCATTCATTCATTCATTTATTCATTCATTCATTCATTTTCCTTTAGGCTTTATTAATCTGGGGTCGGCACAGTGGAATGAACCACCAATTTATCCAGCATAGGTTTTACACAGCGGAGATTTTACCTTCCAGCTGCAATCCACCACTGGGAAACATCCATAACCAATCATTCACACATATACACTACGGACAATTTAGCTTACCCAATTAACCTATAGCACATGTCTTTGGACTTGTGGGGGAAACCTGAGCCCCCAGAGGAAACCCATGCGAACAGAGAGAACATGCAAACTCCACATAGAAATGCCAACGGACCCAGCCGAGGCTTGAACGCTTGAACCTTCTTGTTGTGAGGTGATCATGCAACCCACTGCGCCAGCGTGAGACCCTGTTTTTGCATTATTTAGAGCAAATTCGTTCCTCCTGTTTTAAAACGCCCATGAGATCCTTGTGAAATTTCAGCGTGGAGACTGGATGATTATACCGACCCATAGAATGTGATGGCTGAGTTTTCATCTTTAACTAATGAGAAAGACTTCCAAGTCTTTCCAGACTGCCAATCAGAGTGCTCTATTGTGAATGAGGTGCAACTACATTAATATGCCTGACTTTTTTTTACCTCTTACAGTGTTCAGACTCAGAGATGCTACGTTGTGTTGCCAACAAAATTAAAATAAGTGGAAGAAGAAGAAGAATTTATTCGGAGACATGGGTCGTCAGTGTTGTGTTTATAAATGTGCCGTAACAAAAGGTTTTGTTTCGATTTTCCCACAATGAGATCATCGCTGTGTGTGGACATGTGTGGATTATAGTGGTCTGCTAACATGCGACAAAAATATGTTTGTAAAGAACATTTTTACCCGAGAGCTTTATGCATCTGGAAAATGTGAAATGCGGATTTGCCACTCGTCTACTTTTTAAAAAATACACGGTTCCAGTTGGTGTTGATTGTCCCATCTCTACGGATTTAGTATGTGTGCGATCAATGTTCTTTGCTTAAGTTTATTCAGAGGCAAAGTTAGTTAGTATTGTCAGCAGTACTCTTTCAGTTTTTAAGACATACCTTGGTCAAAATGATTGAGTTACTAAGTTTACCGAACGTTAATATCACTACAACATTATGGATTGAAAGATCCACTGTAAATGCTGCTCTCCGAATGTAAACATGCTAACACCTTAATCAAACTATAACCTTGTGTAGGATTTTCAACACATTCTGTGACAGGATAGTCTATACACACTCGGCTGTGTTTATATCGAGGAATATATCAAACTCCACTTAAACTACACTCTTCCAGCAGTTCCTCGCATGCAATATCTCGTTTGTCAGTGGGGCATGCATGAAATGTTTCTAATTGAAAGTGAAAGTGCCAAACTGTAGTTTAAGTTGACAAATTAAGAATGAAACACCCGAAATTCCATGAAACTCCAGAGGGAAAATGGATAGCGTGGTGACGTGATGAAGTTAATCGTATTATGTGCTATAACATGTAAAACAGGATTATGAAAGGAACATTCAAAAAGCAACTCATGTAAACACCTTAATCATATTATTATCTTATTCAGATTAAGGCAAATACTTTGATTATTAATTACCATGTAAACATAGTTACTGTCTGTCTCCTCTGCATTTGTGTTGCCGCTGTGAAAATCAGCATGTGCATGTACTGAAACTCCTCCTTTTTCATGCAACCCCTTCCCTCTATTGCCACTTGCCACTTCCACTAAAACAAAGCTGGACTCTCCCACTTTCCTGACTTTTCCAAACTAGAAATGTGAAAACACCCTGCTAAGACAGGGGTGTTTCATTGCCCTTTAAGATCTCATCTGAAACTACAGAAAAGTAACATAAAATATCACTACTAGAAGTTTGCTCTACATTAATTCGATGCAGGAGATCTCATTTGTGCCTTTCTTTCCTATGGGATGCCAATCCTGATGATCCATGCAATCTAAATAGGCCATCGCAGATCTAATCAGCTTCAAACAAAAACTTTCCTTTTTCATTTCACCAAAAACAAAATGCATCTCCCCTCTATTTAGACATGCGCTCATTAACACCCTAGATTGAGCCATTAGAGATTTATTCGTCACTCCAGAGAATTGCCATGACCTAAATCCAGTGCCAAGCATAAAACACAAGGGAAAACACAAAACATTAACAGGAGTCAGACACAAAATGTTCTTTATGGGGATGAAAATAAAAACAACGGTTAAATTGTTTCTTGGAAATCTGGATACGACCACACTGTTCAAGAGTGTTGATGTGGGTTAGCTGGAAGCGGGGCTAATTTCAAGTGTGTAGGGCTAATTTGAGCTATGAATTGCTCTTCAAAGCGCCCATCTTCAGGTTGCCATGGCTACTTGGGGACTAGATGTGCTGCTGAGTTGCCATTCAGCACTGTAGTTTACTGCAGACACACACACCTGTAATGCCACTAAAACACACTGCGAGAGCAAGGGGACACAGCGGGACTCCTGACACTGGAGAATGCCAAACCAGGGGGTTCAAAATGAGGAAGGAGGTTTATTTTTTCCACTTGCTGTGCTCTGGCTTCCTGCCAATTTTTAAAGTTAAAATTTGAAAATCCTTTAAAATCCTTTTTTAAATGGAAAGTTCATCAAAATGTGGTTCAAACCCTTTATGAGTTTCTCTCTCCTGAAGAATAGGTGACCCTGGAGCACAAAATTAGTCTTGCACAAGTATACTTTTAAGATTTGCCCACAAATGTATATTATGCCAAAAATCATTTGAACATTAAGTAAAAATCATGTTCTATGAAGATATTTTTTAAATTTCCTTTCTCAATATTACCTAAGCTCAGTTTCTTTTTTTTAATCAGTAACTGCTAAGACGTTTTACAACTTTACAAAATATTTATAAGATATTTAGAGGCAATATTGGCAATACTGGGAAACATCCATACACACTCATTCTCTCTCTCACACACACACACACGCACGAACGCACGCACGCACGCACGCACACACACACACACACGCACACACACGCACACACACGCACACACACACACACACGCACACACACGCAACGGCCAATTTTGTTTATTCAATTTACCTATAGCGCATATCTGTGGACTGTGGGGGAAACCGGAGCACCTGGAGGAAACCCACGCAAACATGTCGCCTTTGAACTGTCAGATTCCATTTTTGTTCTTGAACAAATATTGTCCAATGCCAATAACCATACATCAATTGAAGAATTCCCAAAAATTGACCTTTTTTGAGTTTGTTTTTCGTGGTCACATATATTTTAAAGAATGCTGGAATGATAGCAATGATATACAATGTTGGCAAACAAAATACTATAGAAGTCAATGGCTACCTACTTTTTAAAATATCTTCTTTTGTTCAACAGAAAAAAGAAAGTCAAACGGGTTTGAAATAGGTGGAGGGTAAGTAAATGATAAGAGAATTTTTATTTTTCTTGGTTGAAAAACCCAAAGAAATAAAAATGTAAACACTACATGTGCAAGACTGGAAAGAACTGATATCTCAATAAGAGTTTCCACAAAGTCCCATGATCGAACTTTGATTAAAACCAATTACTTAATTTACTAAATGATTAATCGATCCATCGTTGACCTCAATGCAAGATTAGAATTACAACAATGATAGTTGAGTAAAATGACAATCTTGTGATTTAACTAAATCATATGAGAAAAAATATATATAAAAATTAATTGAGGAAAAAATGCAAGTCTATCTTGACTCTCAAGGGCATTTTGCTGCACAGTCAGACAATGAAACCATTAACAACCTAATGTCAGCTCGCAAATTGTTCAAACAATAATTCTGATATTAACACAATACATATAACCTCCAAACATAAAAAGTTAACTTACAATTTTAAAGTATATTTAACAATTTTCTTTTCATTCTTGTTTACAATACACTGCACATAATACACTCTCAGAAATAGTGTAAACTTTCACATAAACAAGAGAATACACGATAATAAAAAATTATAATGTACATAGCGAATAAAGAATAAGGTCACATGACAGAGTGTAAAAGTCTTGATGGTTCTGTGGGTCTCTTCTATCATATCAGATCTTTAATTTGTTTTCTCAATTGGATTAAAGTCAGGGGATTGGCTGGGCCATTCTACAGCTTCATTTTCTTTCTCTGAAAGCATTTGAGAGTTTCCTTGGCTGTGTTTTGGATAATTGTTCTGCTGAAATGTCCACTTTGGTTTCATCTTCATCATCCTGCTAATGTAGATGTCTGACCGCAGCAGCTAATATTAATTTACAATGATGAAGGGCAGAGGGTTGCTGAATAACTATTGTGAGATTTCAGTTGCTGTCTGGGCTTTCACGGCCTACACCTCCCTTTCTCATGAGTTCAATACTTTTTTTCCTTCATCATTACATAATTTGTAAACTTATTAGATTTGTTTTCTTTCCATATATTTTGTGGATTTCTTTGATTGTTACCAAAATCTGAGAAAAATGTAGTCAACGGCACCTTTAGAAATGTTTTCTCAGAAAAATGGTGACGTGTTCAAAACTTGTTTTCCCTACTGTATATATAGATAATAGTATTATTGTAGTTCTTATATAATTTTATTAGTAGTAATTCTTACATATGGTATGCAGTTATATGTATAATTCTAATTAGTTTCATTAGTTTAGATATGCTCAAGTCAAGATTTAAGACCTCATTAGTAAGTTTTTTTTTTTTTTTATCAAATGTAATTTTTTAAAGACTTTTTTGAGACCTGAAAGAACCCTCATACTTCTCCTAATCTATAAACCAGACAATAAAAGTACAGAAATATATAAAAAAAAGACATGAACTTTACCTTGCTGATGTGAAACTCCAGTCGTCGCATGTATCGCTCTATGGTCTTGATTTGCTAGGAAGCAAAAATGTAGAGTTATTTGCTGACAGAGGGGAAAAAAAAGCTTTTCACACAGGGATCAATGTAAGTTCGTATGCGCTAAGTTTAAACATGGCTGACACCTGCGGCGATCAGAGTGCCGCAATAACAGATCAGTGCAGAAAAAAATGCAGCACATCACTTATGCAAAGCTGCTTATTCCTCCTGCCGCATGTTTCTCACTTCAAACTTCATCAAAAGTTTAGCACAGGTCAACTCATGCAGGATAAGAAGCATTAGTGAGTTTAGTGAACCTACCTTGTCAAGATCATACAGCACACCCTGAGAAAGAAAAAAAAAGCAACATTAGTGGAAACGCTAAAAGAAAAAATCATGATCTCCTCCTAGAAAATCTGATAGCAAGCTAAAAAGACCATATAGAAAGAATAGTTCAATTAGAAATTATTCACTCACCCTCAGGCTTGTTGTAGGTAAAATTTTCTTCAGTAGGAAATTTAAGATTTTTGGCTTAAAACTTGGTCATTGTTGATTTACAGTGCAATTCAATAGCACTCTGGGAGTCAAACAAACATAGGCTATACCTCAATTTATCATCAGAAGTTGCTGGGATACATTTTAGGTCACACTTTACAATAAGGGTTCATTAGCTAATGTAAGTTCATGTATTTACTAACATGAACTAAGAATGAACAATACTTGTACAGCATTTATTAGGTCATAGTTCAACATTGACTAATGCATTATTAACATCTAAATTCTTGCTTGTTATCATTAGTTAATGCACTGTTAACATGAACTAACAATGAACAACTGTATTTTCATGACCTAACATGAACAAATACTGTCATAAATGTTTTATTAATTGTTTGTTCATGTTAGTGAATGCATTAACTAACATTAACTAATACAACCTTATTGTAAAGTGTTCCCACATTTCATTAAACAAATTACTTTATTAAATTTGTTTTTCATGAAAGTGCCAGAAGCTTTTGACTTTAAATCACCAAGGACCACAGTTTCAGTTAAAAATCTTCTTTACATCTTGAATGGCTTGAGGGTGAGTAAAATAACGTCTAAAACATGCTGCACTGCAATTAATCACTTCTTACTTAGATTTTAATGTCTTTTCTTTTTAACACTTGTTTTTCACATGTACACCAAAAAGTAAAAATTCTGCCCATGCATTATGCAAAAATATATGCTCTGAAAATAAACTTTAACGATTTTTCAGTATTTTGTTATTTTATATTACCAAAAAAAGGCATTTATTTAACTGAGAATAACTTTTTTCTAATTATATATACTATAATTAATGGTTATAAATAAATTGTTATTTATTTCTGTAAAGGTAAATCTAAATTTACAGCTTGATTACTACAGTATTAGTATAGTCTATATTTTCCCCTGACCTTTTATACTAGTTTTTGTCAGCAGGGTTTTTTCAACATTCTAGAATCATTGAAAGCATTTTTGAGCAAGGGCACTTACCAACCCAGGCTCATTCTGAAAACGTAGCCCCTTTCTGGACACCGCGAAATACATCCCTGGAGGTACGTATTTGTGCAGTTTTTGTTTTGGCGAATCCGCGAGTGGCCGCTGTGCTCGCTTTTCACGCCCGTGCTGTTCTCGTGTAAAAAGCCGCCGGAGGCCGCTGTCGAGCAACCAGCTGTCCGACTCACCGACTGACTGAATGAATGACTGAACAATTGAATGGACGGCCGCCCAATCGGCAGACTCGGCCACCCTCCTCCTCCTTCTTACCAAAACCCAAGCGACGATTTACAAAAGCCATGCAGAAGAAGAAAAGCCCTTGTCAGATTTTGACCGCGTTTTCATATATTACCACATTCTTGCCCCGTTACGAACTCGTTCACTTTATTTTTTGGATTCTGTTTTTGTCTTACCTGATTTCTGGAACCGCTCTTCCACCGGCGAGCGCGAAGAGGAGCAGCGTCACACCACCCCATAACGTTCGCTTGAAAAAACTAAATGCAGCCATGCGTACCTCCGGCCATGTAAATCGCAGCCTCCAGAAACGTCCGCAGGGCTACGCTTTCAGAATGAGCTTGGGTTGGCATTTACAAGCTACAGCAGGGGTTTTCAAACTTTTAAGACCCCCCCCCCCCCCAAACAACCAAGTTTGTCCAATATCACTTGCGCCCACCCCCTAAAGATGGAAATGGAATTAAGACATTTGGAGTATGCATATATAATACAAGTATTACCATCATGTAGGACTTTTCGCCGCATTTTGCAATAAGATCCACGCACATGGCTGTCAGTAAAGAACAGCAGACACACACATTGCGAAATGCAATGTGACGTCTGGTTTTAAATTACAGTACATTCAAACAGAACTCTTCCACCACTCCTTAGTCATACTCGTGTACAATAGCCCAGTTTGACATAGGGGCATGAATGAAATGTTCAAGAGTGAAAGTGAAACTGCCAAACTGCAGTTAAAAATGTAAAAAATTAGGATGAAACACCCAAAATTACAAGAAACTCGGCAAGAAACATGTATAGCCTGGTGCCGCAACATTCAAAAAGCACTTCTTGTAAACGCTTTAATTATATTATTGTCTTATTCAGAATAAGGCAAATAACTATTACTGATGTCGATGTAAACATAGTCAGTAGTGTCTTTAAAGTAAGTGAAAGATCCAGAAGGGCATCCTGCTTATTTTATTCAGAAGGGCACTTGTTTTGTCAGACGGCTCACCGGCTTTACTCTCATTCACCGGCATTCATTTTAAAAAGCACACGATCCATTTTATTTGTATATTTTTTTACTCAAACGCAATAACTCTACAGGTGCCCGATAGTTAGCTGTGGAACTAATGTTAATCAGATTCACTCTAGTGAACGCATAAAAATCGTCATCATAATTTACTCGAGTGCCCCCCCCACAGGTTGAAAACCCCTGCACTACAGTATGTTCAGACAAGAGTGCTTTTTGAATCAGACTTGTCCATTTTTATGATGGTGAAAAAATTACATTAATTTCCAAAAGCAAAGAAACTGAAATCAAAACTAAACGGTAAAAAAATAATCACCTTTCTCCATTAACAGCAATTCAAAATGATCAGTGTCAACATTCAGTGTAAAAACTGTGATTATTTCATTATACTATTATATTTAACCAGTTTATATTAAGTTCATATCCCTCTCCACTGATTTTGACATCATCAACAACAGATTTGTGCACTCTGACACAGCTCAAACTGTAGTGTGTAGACACCCTAGTGATGTCACATCCTGTCTCACCAGTCTGGAGTTCCTCTTCATGTCCTTCATGAGGGAAGTGAGTTTATCCAGCTCGGTTTGGTGCACCTCCAGATATTCACTGACAGAAAGAGAAAACAGCAAAGACTTGAGTGCTCTGCAGAGCTGCACTAACAATGACTGCACGTCAATATTACATCACAGCACTGATTCATGCAGTCAATGTGCAAACACACTGTACAAAATATGATCAATAAGTCACAAAAACATGTTTCTATTTTAATATAATTCATAAAAATTAGATTTCCATGTTTAAGCTTAATTTTTTCGACTAAAGAATTTATATATGTATTTTAAAGGGATAGTTCTTTTCAAAATGAACATTTATTTACTATTAACTCACCCCCAATGGTTATAGAACTTTGAGTTATTTATTCTGTCAAACACAAAGCAAGATTTTTTTAAGAAAGGAAAAACAAATACTATGGAAGTCAATGTTTTCCAGCTTTCTTTAGAATATCTTCTTTTGTGTTCAACAGAATAAAAACTCATATAGATTTGGCACAAGTGAAAAGTGAGCAAATGTTCCTTTTCATTTTTGGGTGAACTATCCCTTTAAGTAATGCAAGTAAAAATTACTTGTAAGGATAATTTGATTGAAAAAAATACATACCAATAAGGGAGTGGCAACGCAGTGGCGCAGTGGGTAATGCTGTCGCCTCACAGCAAGAAGGTCGCTGGTTTGAGCCTCGGCTGGGTCAGTTGGCATTTCTGTGTCTAGTTTGTATGTTCTCCCTGCATTCGCGTGGGTTTCCTCCAGGTGCTCCAGTTTGCCCCACAGTCCAAAGACATGCAGTACAGGTGAATTGGGTAGGCTAAATTGTCTGTAGTGTATGAGTGTGAATGAGTGAGCATGGATGTTTCACAGAAATGGGTTGCAGCTTTAAGAGCATCCGCTGCGTAAAACATATGCTGGATAAGTTGGTGGTTCATTCTGCTGTGGCGACCCCGGATTAATAAAGGAACTAAGCTTAAAAGAAAATGAATGGATAAATAAGGGCGTACTCACACTAGTTACAGTTGTCTTGAACCATGCAGAAGCGCACTTGTCCCTCTCCCCTCTCCCTGCACTCACGTTGCATTTTACCCTCTGAGCCGAAGCATTCTTACATCATCGATGATGCGACTGTTCAGTTTAACAGGAAGAGAAGCGCTCTCACTCAGCACAGTGGACATTTAGTTATATCTTTTGTATTATTTTTAGCCATTTGGAATGCAGTGACATGTAGTCAAATATTTTTACGAATAGATCCACCACATTTGACGCTCATAAATTATTATAAAAGTCCTTGTGGGAGGTTGTATCTTTAATAAACGATGACAGTTCGCATTCAATGAAAAGTAAGAATGATTAATGAATCCATATGAAACAGTCCCTTAAAAATTACGTCACGTCTTCAGTTTTGGGCTCAGGCGCGCGTTGCACTCACACTACAAGCGTACCATGTCAAAGACCAACCGAACCACACTCTGGAACAAACCTCTTCCGACCGGGCCATGGACAGCCAACTGAACCACGCTTGGGCCCTTTTTGCAGCAATTTACTTGTACCGCATGTCCTTGGACTTGTGGGGGAAACCGCAGCACCCGGAGAAAACCCTCGCAAACACGAGGAGAACATGCAAACTCCACACAGAAACGCAACTGACCCAGCTGAGGCTCGAACCAGCGACCTTCTTGCTGTGAGGTGAACGTGCCACCCACTGCGCCACCGTGCAGCCTGAGCTGATTTAATTGTTTAACATAATGAAAGTTAAAATGACTTGTAATGTTAAACTACAAAATCATAAGTTAAAGCACTCAAAAAGTAAGTGAAAAGATTAAAAAGCCTTTATTAGCATGGCTATTATTTAAAAAGTAAACAGCACTGTTGTGCAACACACCTACGCATTTCATCATTAGGCAAGTTTTGCAGAGGTTTTTTCATTTTTTCACTTACTTTTCGAGTGTCTTATGATTTTGTTATTTATCATTATGAATCCTTTATCCAAAGAGCACAGACACATTATTTACCCCTCAAGCACTTTTTATTTGATTTTGGACTTGTAAAGTTAAAACATTTAAGGCAATAGCTATTTTTTTCTTTCATACAGTACAGTATGACTAGAAAGATGTGATAAAGAAATATCTAGCAGCACTTACTCCAGGCCTTGCTTGAGTGCGCTGTAAACCTCCTCTACACGTTTAGGCTGTGGCTCTCGTGAGCTGCTGCTGCTGCTGCTGGATTTATGCCCGGACAGATGGGGCTTCCTGGGCTTGGAGATGGGCTTCTTCTGCACTGCCGAGTTCCCCATGAAGGAGTTGCACCTGAAGACACGCAGACAGATGTGGGTGAATATAACAAATCTCTCCTGAACATGTGGAGGTCAGTAATTTTACCACAAAATATGAATAAAGGTACTAGGATGCTTAAAGAAAACTTTGCTTTATTTTAAAGACAATTATGGACATCCCTTTTCATTTTTTTACTGCCATAATGTAAATAAATAAATACAGATGTTAAAAAAAATTATTACTGTAAACCCAATGCTACTACTGATAATAAATAAATCGCAATTGTAGAAATTAATGAAATGGTCAAAATTGAAGAAATACGTTTTTGAAATATTGTGGATAAAAAATTATTTATTATTATTTTGGTTATTCTTATTAATAATAATAATAATAATAATAATAATAATAATAATAATAATAATAATAATAATAATAATAATAATAATAATAATAATAAATTTATTTAATTTAATAAAATATTATAAAATAAATATGAAAATTTAAAAGAGAAAACCCAGATGCTTAACAGTATTGATAAATAATTTAAGCAAATATTATTTTAAGTGAAACCAGTGTATTTTTAGTATAATCAAGTACCTATTGTATTTGTAGATTTATTAATAGGCTTAATTACAGTTCTTGTAATTTTGAATTTATGTTTTAAAACTAGTAATTTTTAGTCATTTAGTCATTTAATTTTAGTCAGTTTTAGTGGCCGATCACACCGAACGCTCATTTCACGCACATCTATACCATAGCAAATCCTTTTCTCTTAACAGAGACTCAAAGGATTGATGTTCGAATGTCATTTAAACCCTCCTATAAGCTATTAGGATAAAGCCTGTAGTGCTGTTCTCTTCCTCGCTGCTTCCTGACATTTAAAACTCCTGTCAAAATGTTTCAGCGTGCTTATTAGACCACTTCTGAGGTCATGGGCCCCCGCATCCAATATATATTCTCGGATCATAAAAACACAATGGCAGTTGGCTGTTGGACATGTCTGAACGTGTCGCGCACAGTCAAAAAGAGCACTGGAAGTAGAGCTACAGCAAATCTAGGCCATGGTGGAGAATGAGCACATGCTGTAGCCGGAGGGTCAGACATTCAGTCCGCCTAACTAAAGTAGATAAGTCTTTGGGCATTTACACTGGCAGTTCTTTCACATGGAAAACACACGTAGAATGGCTTTTCTCTCATTTACTCCACAGATTGCATTTTTTATGGAGGTTACATCTCTTTGGAGTAAACAAGAAACGTATAATGTTGTTTTATGGAGCTGTTCTTGAAGGCATCGTCAGGTATGGTATCACAGTGTGGTTTGTCAACCTATTCGCACAGTGTAAAAGTTGATTTATACTTCTGCGTCAAACGCACGCGTATGCTACGGCGCAGCTTAGGCATGGACGCATAGCCCTCGCCGTGGCCGTCGGCGACGTTGTTGCGCACCTCTCTAAAAATGTTACTACACGTCGCAATGGCTCTGTGATTGGTTTGTGATAGGCTTGATAGCGCTGTGAGCAGGACCGGGAGCCGCGTGAGTCCGTTGGAGCGAGTGTTTCCAAGTGTGGAGTCCCGTGAAGGAGCTCCAGATGAAAACTTTTGTTTTGTGTTTACCTCATGGTTAAAGCTGTTGCACGTCCGCTGATTCCTGCCTCAAAATGAACAAGTTTAAACCACTTGTACATTAAGAAAGCATTTAGAAAAAACAAAACACCAGCAGAAAAAACTCGACACAGAGGAACATAAACACCAACTGCCAGCTTGTGTTTCAGAAGTGTTATTGCAGAGATCAGAAACAGCCACAGAAGTAAAATGCACGGCAATGCGCAAGGTATGCGCCGTGGGTCATGCCGATCACTTGACGCAGAAGTATAAACCAGACTTAAATCTAAGTTGATGCACCTCTTAAAGACAGGATGAAAAATTGTTGGGCACAATGAATATTATATTCCTCAAGTTTTGCATGAGAACTGTGTCCTTAATCAGGTGGAAAGGGTTCTGAATGATCCAACTCAGTGTTTTGTATTCACATTATGAAAACCTTCCCTCTGATGGGAGATATAGAGTTCCTAAGTGTAGCTTAAACCGATACAATAAATACTTTACACCCGTTTTAGTAGGTTTATTTAATAAGAGTTTATCTAAACAATCATTATTAGGGGCCAAGCATCGAAGGCGCGTAGGCACCTATTGTATCTGTTTCGGTTGTTATTATTATTATTCCGACTTCCTCTTCTTCTTCCTCTGCTCTTGGAGTCTATGGCAGCCCTATGAACCGTTTGCAGCATTTGCGCAAACTTTGGCACACTCTTAGGCTGCATTTACACTGCATGGTTCAAGTGACTTAATTCCAATTTTTTTTCCCATGTGACACAGATCAGATATGGCCCATGTACTGTACGTGTAAGCAGAATCAAATCAAATGGATTCCGATTTACTCAAATCAGATTCAGGCCTTGTTTATTTGTGAAAATTTATCGGATATGAATCGGATCTGTGTTCTCATGTCTGCAGTGTAAGCAGGTAGATCAGATTTTCACCTGCAAATGACGTCAAGTCTGACGCTTTCATTTCAGAACAGACTTCAGCAGAGTCACAAACCTTAAATCTCATACAGGAGAACTAAAACAGCTTTTATATTGTCATATAGCACAGGTATTTCAGCAATGTCTGCCAGGTAACCAATATAAACTAATATCAAACTAGTGCATCCATCACGTGCATAAATCACGCCATGGACATTACATTAAGATGCCTAAAGGTTTAAAAAAGCCTATATATATCAAAAGAAGATAGCCAAATGAGAACCTTTCTGTCATAAACTATAGTAAAACAGCTTGTCAAGAGTTGCGAACAGATTACATAAAGGAATGGAGAAAAAAGTGCTCTTTAATTTGCAGCTGTTAGTCAGCGGCCGCTCTTTTTTTTTTCTGTGCCATTGCGCCCTTGCTTTGTGCTGTGTAAATGCAGACGATCAAATACGAGTCACTTTTAAAAGATGATGTACGCTGGTCATCAAAAAAAATCGGATACAGTCACAAAAATCAGAATTGACCATCAAGATCTGCAGTGTAAATGCAGCCTTTGAAGACAGTCTGATCATTAACCACAACAAATTTGCACTCTCTTACTCAAACTCTCTAGCGGCACCACTTGTCAAAAGTTTCGCTTATGTTTATCTTTCTAACTTTTGAACCGAATGGGCTACGATCAAGATTCCTTGACTCAAGTCGATTCAAACGCACCCTATGTCGCCATTTTCCATCACGAGAATTTATTCGCTATTTTTACCTGTTTGAACAAACTCGTCTTATGCCATTTGTCTGATCTTCACCATAATTGAATCATGAGATCTACAGACCATGCTAACCAAAAGTAATTGAATTTAAGTTGATTAGACTAACCGTTTTTGATTAACTTGTGAACAAATTTAACATAGAGCTTGTGTTTGTAAAAAGTTATAGAATTTTCAGTTGCTCTGTAGCTTGTTGCCGTGCTTGTTTATGATGTGGCCGCTGGGCTGCTTGGCCCTGATAATTGCTGCTTGCAGCTATTTTTATTATTGTAAGTACTGTATTTTTGTATTGTTTTACTGCGTGTTTGCATGTTCATATGGTGATGCCCATAACAAATTTCCTTTCAAGGACGTTTAAGTTTACCATTTCTACAACTACTTGAGCAGAATCCACTGCACCCAGCACACTCTTTAAGACGCTGCAAGTACTTTCAAATGTTAGGTAGAAACATGCAAAGTATATCAGAAATGTACTAATGTGTGTACTAATACAGTTCTAGAACAAAACTCCGAACACTGAATAAAATTCAAAATGTGTTTATTTGTTTGTTTGTTTGTTTGTTTGTTACATTAGAGTCAAAGGTTTTTACAGAGGGGATTTGGGGAATTTTATTTATCACTTGACCAAAACGACCCAAAAATGACCAAAAAAAGACCAAAATAAGAAATCCACTGTTTTTGTAGAATGAAATGCTGTATAAATTCAGGCCAATTTTGTATTTGTGGCTCAAAGCAGGTGAAGAAAAACTAATTTATGTGTCGTAATCAAAATTACAGACACAAATTGAGAAAGTGTGACAAAAACACTTAAAAGTGTATTTTGGAAGTTTTCTTTGTTTTTATTAGACTGAAAAAAGCCCAAATGCCCAAAATCTCGAGCTCGAGAGGTGCATGAAAAAACCGTTTTGCCTGAAGTATCTAAATTTAATGTGGTTAATACACCCATTCACATGGATATAATGTGCTGTTCTTGTGCAATTTTATTGTAATGTTCTAAAATCTAGTGGAAAGTTTTGCCAGAGATGTGGAAACAGTTATTGAAGTTATGAAAGGAATTAATAGCTTTCAAATGATGGGTGTGGAGTTTGGGTGTCCACATACTTTTGGTCACGCAAAACAACTTTATACAAAATCTCCCTTTGAAATGGTTTTGCCTACTTGTTATGAAGTAAACTACATGAAACCTGACATTTTTAAAACCTTCTTGTAGTTGTTTTACTTAATCCCCAGTATAAAAAACGTTTTTGACATTTTTTAATTATTTAACATAATACAAAGAAACATAACAGATTAATATTAGATTAATATATAGTTTAAATAAATGGATCAACTTTAAGGCCTGGTTTCAGAGAAAGCGCTTAGACTAGACTTAGACTTTAAAATCAGAATATTTTATAATTAAGGGCAATTACAAACAAAAAAAACTACTGCTGGTCTCCATCTTGAAAAAACCCAAAAGGCACTGATATATTTTAAGATAGTCAGTAACAAATTAAACAAATCATACATTTCGGTCTGGCACTAGATTGTCTAAACCTGATAGTGATGTAACTCAATAATTGTAGTTATTCATAAATGTTTAAATCCTACATGTAACTTCATATCAGTTATGTAACATTTATTATAAATAATATAATTAAGTATAGCTGATATCATTTTAATATACATTTAATAATTTATTACTTTAAATATTAAACAAAATATTTGTATTATTATATCAAATTTCTTATCCTATATAATCTAATATCTTTTGATGTCAAATTATTTACTAAAACATTTTTAGTTTTTACAATTAGTTAAATATAATATATAATGCTTTGCTATTTATTTTTTTTAAATTAATAAAGCATTTGAAACATGTTTATAGACCTGCATGTATTATATTATATTATATTATATTATATTATATTATATTATATTATATTATATTATATCAAACTCTTTGCATGTTTAATGTTCATGTAGTAGGTCATGTAGAGAGCAAGGTTAGCTCATGTAGAGAACAGTATTAGTGTGCTTGTGCTGGGTCAGATGTGCTCACCGTGAGCGTCTCTCCTGCAGGGTGCTGAAGCCAGCGAACGACTGGCTCCTGATGATGCCATTGGGTCCTCCAGGAGAGTGAGTGCCAGCAGCCATGATGTCTGGGAAGCGTGAGGACACTCCTGCATGAGGCAGAAAAGGATTCTGGGTAAGAGGTCAGTAGTGCAGATGGGGGAAGGGTTGCGTGTGGAGGATGATGATGTTGGGAATGGATGCACATGCACATTTTACACCATTTTAATGCTACAGAAAGAAATAGTAACAACTTATATAGCACCTTATTCAGCAGGCTGCTTTAACTATTTTGCTTTTACAGTGTTGTACAAAATAACATCAGCAGCATAGTTTTTTTTAGTATGGAGCTAAAACTATGCCAAAACAATCTAAATTTGAATTTTGAATAATTAACAACTTTAAATTGAAAACAATCAGACTTAAAAATTACTGAACTGAACTATGCCGACAATAAAAAAAGAAAACAAACAGAAAAGCGCAGACAAGTGAGATAATGGTGCCTGCTGCTTCAGAAGCATTAATAGACAAATTAATATCAAGGAAAAACAGCGTTGGTAATATGGGAATATTTTGGTTTCAAAGTCACAGACACCGAACAAAAACAGTCATTTTTAAGAGCTGTCAGAGAATTTTTGCCATGGCTTACACATTATTGAGCTGAAGCTTGAATTAAATTATATTCAGCTTGAAGCTTGATTTAAATCGTAAATCAAATTTCAATATCAGTAAAAATATATAATTAAATAAAAATAAATAAATGTAAAAAATAATAATAAAAATAAAATAAAATTCGCAATTAGATTTTTCCCCGAATTGCACAGCCCTAATATTCAGTTTTATTAAATTACAATTGTTAATAATTCAAATTGACATTTCAAATTCAGATTGTTTTGGCATATTTTAAGCCCCATATTAGAACTACAGCTAATATTCTTCTATAAAGCAATCATACAAGCTGATAATCTTGTTTTATTTATTAGATAGAAGGTGTTTAACCTGATATTTCACTAACTGTAAAAACTGAATGATTGACCAATTAACTAACAAGAGAATTTATTTGATTTATTTATCCAATGCAATTGTTGGTTGTTTTATTTGGCGGCACAACTTGTTTTTAAAGTAAAACATAGATATATAGTTAATAGGTCATGCATTTTTTGTGTGTGTGTTTTTTTTTATGTGTAGTCAGATAACTTTCTTTTGCTTCAAGAAATATTTGTAAAAATACTATAATATATTATCAAAATAATTATAAATAAATAACATTAAGAAAATTATTTTGGCAACAAAGAAATACTGATATCATACTAAAACTAAATTACATTCATTACTGAAGCTGTGCCAAATGTAAATTCAGGGTAGAACCCTTCTGGATGCACTTGGCCTGAAAACTGAAAGCGGAAATGCTTTGTAATAGTTTTTTTTATTTTATTAAATAACATTAAGTCATTTTGTAGGTCTTTTTAAATTGAACTCAATAGCTTAAATTATATTGATTTAGAAAAAACATTAAATAACCACATTTTATTGTCAGTAATATTTATTGAAGAGTAGAGAGGCATCATTTTACCAACATTGAAAGTACAGTAACGTAACAGCACTATTAACAGAACAAGTTACTACATAGAAATATTCTATTTTATTCTTTCTTTTATGGTGAGCCTATGTGCTTCATGCTGATAAGTACAATATATGGCATTGTGAGCATAATATTGAGCTATTTTGAAGTTCGACTGCACAACCCATTGAAATGTATGGGTTTCATAGCGCAAAACTTTCCGCTTCCAGTCTGAAAGCCTCTTCACAACACGTAGTGACTATCACTGGCAACTAGTGGGGCACAGCATAGCCTTTTTCAGCTCATGGTTTCCCCATTTATCTTTTTCAGGAATTCTACTTCTTTGTATATTTGTATTTTAGTAAGATTTTTTATGTCACTAAAACAACCTGCTGTTTAAAACACAAATGCTTCATTAGTGAAATGTCCTGCTTCCTATTTATGAAGTCCTGATTGCATATTTTGCAATGCAAACATTGACCACTAATGTTTCTAAAACAAACATTCAGCATTCAGAGCGGTTTGCAGCTATTAAAGCAGAAATTAAAGCAGCTGTGTTCTGCTTTCATATAAAAATTGTGCAAACCTATTTAACAAAATCAGATCGAAACCTCTAGAAAAGCCTACCACATATCCATATAGGCTCTTTCCCCTAAGAAATCAGAGAAGTGGTCAAAATTGGACAAAATAAAAACTTCTATTTACTCACTCTCAAGTGGCTCCAAACTTCTATGCGTTTTTTATTAAGTTGAACACTAAAGAAGATATTTTGAAGAAAGCTGAAAACAAGTAACCACTGACCTTAATAGTAGGAAACACAAATACCATAGAAGTCAATTGTTACAGGTTTCCAGCTTTCATCAGAATGTCTTATTTTGTGTTTAACAGAGAGACAGAAACCCATAAAGGTTTTAAACAAATGAAGGGTGAGCAACTAATGACCGAATTTTTATTTTTGGGTGACCTGTCTCTTTAAGCTTACTACAAAACAAATCTGTTTAATAGTGTGTAAGTTGTAACTTAATGCAAAAGTAGGCCAAGTCATTATAGCCCTAGCTTGTGAACAGCTTTTTCAGCCAGCCCCAGAAATGATTTTGAAAGCTTTACTAGCTCTCTAATAAACAGATATCCAGACAGAGCCTTGACATTAAACGATAGTCCATAAAAACCAGCTGAAAATCACAGAGGAAAGCAAGAAATGACTCATTTAATCTCCCGTGGATACAGTTACTGAAAATAGCACTAAAGGGTGAGAAGACCCCATACGGCACACATTCAGAGGTTTATATAAACCGCTCAAAGCCACCTGAGCCCACCGCAGATGAAGATGCAGAAAGAGCACTTAGGAGCAAGCAAGAGGTCCTCTAATGGAGCCAGAAAGACCAACGTCATCCCTCATTTCAAGCGCAATGATCCCGGGAGGGTGTAGAAACCTCTCACCTATACAGAAAGCCTTCAAGACCATCTCTGTTCTCCTCATAGATCATCTCTTCACCCTCCCATAATTCATCAGAGCAAAGGGAAATGATGACAGCAGTGGCAAACTCAAAATCCGAGAGTAATGAGGCTATGAGATCTGTGATCATGGATGTGAAAGACCCTGCACTGGTGTCTTTCTTTATCAAAAAAAAAAAGAAATATCTGAGTTTTGTGGCTGGTATTGTGTTGGAGGAAACCTATAGCTGTGCAATAAATACATTATTGCTTTGATGAGAGGACAATTCTCACCACGGCTTTAGGAGGATGTTGTTTTGCGGAGGAAAAACAAAAGATCCTTGAATAACGCCTGCCAGGCTATTTATAAACACTGTAATGTTAGTTTTGCCTCTAGAACATGTGCTGTACATTTTGATTATATGACACCCCAATGAACAGGAAAATAAAAGGCAGTAATAAATAAAAGAATATAGCAAACATTTATTTAAGGCTTAAAAAAGCTCTTATCAAATAGAAGCAACACTATATAGAATACCAATGTTAATGTTATTTCAAAATTGTATCATGATTTTTTTTTGCAAGAAAAAAAATCTACATTGTAATAAAGAAGAGAAAATATTAAATAGATGTAAAATATATATATATATATATATATATATATATATATATATATATATATATATATATATATATATATATATATATATATCATAATATAATATATACAGTAAATATATATTAAATGTTATATATACAGTTGAAGTCAGAATTATTAGCCCACCTTTGAATTCTTTTTTCTTTTTTAAATATTTCCCAATTGATGTTTAACAGAGCAAGGAAATTTTCACAGTATAACTGATAACCTTTTTTAACTAATATGTTTATAAATGCGTTGAAAAAATCTTCAGGGAAACAAATTAACGGAGGACTAATAATAATTCAGGGCGGCTTATAATTCTGACTTCAAATATATATATATATATATATATATATATATATATATATATATATATATATATTTATCACTTTTAAATTTAAAAGTGATAATTTAATGAATATTTTAAATATACATAATAAAAATAAAACAAATCTCGTTCATTATATTTTATACACGAAAGACACAATACAATAAATACAAATATGCTTGTATTGTATAAATATAAAGTATATTTTTTTCAATGTAATATCAGTGTATACAATAACAATGTAATAATGTAAAGTTCCTTTACATATAGTAAATCATGATTAATTGCATCTAAAATAAAAGTTTGTTTTGACATAATATATGTGTGTATTGAAACAAATATATGTGTGCTAGAAACAAAAGCCTATAAAACTATTTTGTTACATAGATATTTAAATGGGTGGCGCGGTGGTGCAGTGGGTAGCAAGATAGCCTCACAGCAAGAAGGTCGCTTGTTTGAGGCCATACTCACACTAGGTACAGTTGCCTCGAACCGGGCCAAAGCATGCTTGTCCCCTCTCCCGTCTCCCCCCGACGGCCCGCGCTCACACCATATCGGGCCTCGGCACGCTTACGTCATCGCTGCTGCGCTGTTCAGAAGCGCTCTCTATGGCAAGCCTTTTTAGCATTTAAATCTTTGTTCTGACTCCATAAATATATTTAGAGATATCTCTAATTATATTTTGACTAGTCATAATTATAATTCGACTAGTTAGAATGACAATTAGAGATATCTGCAATTACAATTGTACGAAATCAGATTGGAGATATCTGCAAATATATTATGACTAGTCATATTCCTCTATTGACTTCCATTGAAAAATATTTGCAGATATCTCTAAATGAGTTTTGACTAGTCACAATTGTAATTAGAGATATCTCTAAGTTTTTACTAGTCATAATACATTTGGAGATGTCTTTAATTCGTCATATTTAGAGATATTTACAAATATATTTTAAGTTATCTCTAATAAAATTAATTGTCGAATTACAGTTGTAGATATCTTGAATTGGATTTTTGACGAGTCAAAACTTAGAGATATCTGCAAATATTTTTCAATGGAAGTCAATGGAGGAATATGACTAGTCATAATATATTTGCAGATATCTCTAATCTGATTTCGTACTAATACAATTGTAATTGCAGA